TGTTTCGGTCGTTCCGACACTCGAAAAACAAAGCGACCTGTTTCCGCGGGCGAGGTTTCTTCCCTCGAAGTTTTCACGCTGTTTCGGATGGATTCCCGGTGACGTTAACGTCAGCGAGAAGGTGCTTGCCACTCTGTCCCCACCGCAGCTGAGTCATCGAAACGATGAAAGCGGGCCCTTAAAAAATCATGCGCAGGCGGAGGCGGCGGCTGGGGGCGGCGGCGGCTGGGGGGCGGCGGTGGCTGGGGGCGGCGGGGCCGCTCTCGCTCGCAGCTGCGTTGGGCCCGTGCCGCCTCATCCGGATCTGTGGTTGCTCTCCCTCCCTGGTGGCCGGCCGCCGGGCCCCAAGGCTGGCCCGCTATCCGAGCAGCGCAGACTTGTGTTTTTCTGGCGTTTCTGTCGGTTCCGCCTCTTCTGCCACCTTCAATGCCGGGCTGCTCTTTTTCCCTCCAGTGCGTCCGCGTGTTTGCCGAGGCGAAGGTCACTGGAAAAACGCGACCGGAAAAAAGAGGACTGACATCGAAGATCGAACGACCCAGAGCGAGTATCCAGGACTCAACCGCCGAGTTACATGTAGACGCTGGCCTGGCCATTGTGGCTACGAGTCAATTCGCTGCGATCACTTCGTTGAAAACAGTGGCTGCTGGATTAAACATTCATAAGTTTTCCGCCCGCGCGACGGAATAGCTGCGCCCCAGGCGAAAAGGACGTGGGTTCAAGGACTGCATCGCCCCGGCCTTAAGTGTTTGGCCCTGAATAATGGAGCATCGCCTTGAACCAACATGTGTGTTTGGTCTTGAAACAGAGTCCGGGAACCAAAAAAGCAACGCCTGCTGTGCACACGAATATTGCGATGGCTGCCCCTAGTTCCTGTTTCGGCGCAGTGTATTTCAGTACTTTCTGCCCGTCTTACTGTTTGAACGGCCCGACCGTGAGAAGCTGGTCGCTAGTCCCGCTATCGCCCTGGTGTCCGTCCTCCGCCTGGCTTTGACTGCGCGACGGCTCGGCCAACTTTTATCCCGAGAATAAAAAGGAGGCGATGGGTTAGGATGTCGGACGCAGTAGTAAAAGTTGCGGTTGCGGGGCCCAACTTTTCGGCCTCGACGGCCATCGACGGGTGGCGGCCAGACCGTGGCCAGGCCGTGGCCAGGCGAGGCGGGCATGCCTTCAATCTGGGCGTACCCTCTGGGCCGTGATGGCTGGGAGGGATGCAATCCAGCAGTATTCCAGAAGGCCAGCCAGCCGGCCAGCCAGCCGGCCAGCCAGCCCGGGCGTCCCGGAACGGACGAGGAAGGACGTAATTGACAATCACGGACACATTGCACTGCGCCGCGCGCCACGCCGCGCCACGAGGACCAGAGTTACAACGCCATCTGCCGGGGATTGGGCCAAGCTGACCGTCCTTAAGCCTGGCGTACTGCAGCCCTCTCGGCGAGCCTCTCGGTCGAGGAGTCCGGGACAGGGATTCAAATGAATGACGACAACCCCTTGTGATTGGCCGGCTCCGCTCCGCACCCCGGCGTTGCAGCGCCCCGACAAGGCGCATTGTCAATCTCATACAAAGTCCTCCCAAATTTTACTCGGCAATAAACGTAACTTGCGGCGCCCCCCCCCCCCCCCCCCCTGCCATTCTTCTGCCTCCCTTCCCCTGCAAATAAAAGCACTAAAAAGATCCGGGGAGTCGTTTGGCGCAGTGCAGGACGGCGGGACGGAGGCATGGGCGATGTGCGGGGTGGGGGCAAGACGGCGGAGGGACGCGCCAAGGTCCACCCCCATCTGAATGCAGGTGTGTTCATTCACCGTCATCAACCCCCTCCCCCCTCCCTCCCTCTTCATCTTTATCTTCTTTCCCATCCCTGACGTCCCCGACGTCCCTGACTCCGACCGAACCTTTCCGTGCCTCTGCGGACATGCCCGCCCGGACGGCCCCAGCTCGGCCCCCGGTCGGTGGCAGTTACGGCGGTGTGCCTCGCGGGGACTCGTCGTCGTGCTTAACGGCAGCGCACGTAAAGCCCGCAAAGGAATGACCAGCCGACACCGCCAGTGGCTCGGCCAGAGGCTCGGCCAGAGGTGGAGGGGAGGGACGTCTTTATAGGCAGTCACATTAAAATAAATGGTTTGACGCATCCATGCAGCGTGTAGGGGGGAGGCCTTTCACTCGACTCCCCCTCTCCCTCTCACTTATCTCCCTTCGAATCCTGCCCTCCAAGTGATTCCAGAACGCGCTGCCCTGGCGGGGCCCTGGCTGGCCGAGGCCCCGTCGAGTCACTCAGCCTCGGCCTCCGCTGGGGCGTGAAGGCGGGGCGGGGGGAGGGAGGGGGAGGGCGTGGAAGTCTCGGGTGGCATCTGGCCGGGGAAACTGGGACTTGGTTTTTGCACTGGCTCTGGGTCAGTTCCGAACCCAGAGTCCGAGGCAGTGGCTGGAAAATTCCCGACTGGATTTTCTTTTATTTGGTTACCTTTCCGCACCATTTATTTTCGAAAAAACTGCGATATGCGTTGATTTATAGGGCATTTCAAGCCTGAACTTTAAAAATAAACATTTAGCCTTTTTTTTCGGACAGAATTTAAGAGTGCAGCGGTGAGTTGGAAAACCGACCCGACATATTTCCCGGTATAAAAAAGGAGAAACGGTTGGCGAAATATATAAATAGTACGTGAAAGAGACGAGAGGGAGTGGGACGGAGAAAAGGCCACATCTATCTCAGAGGCAGGGTGCGCTGCGCGGAGGGCTGCGCGGCCGTGCACTGCGAAAGAGGGATCACGAGTCCGCTGAAAGGAGACGAGAACAATGAACAGACTGACTGAGGCAGGAGGAGCAGCGGCCCCGGCGAATCTTTTGGCTCGACTGCACCGAGGACTGCACTCGAATGTTCCTCGTCTGCGAGGGGCGCCGACTCGTCACATCACCGACTCGCGCCAAAATTCAAATTCAGCTCGGTTTAGCGCAGAGCCGCTGCAGCATGCTTGTTTGCGATTGCGACGCATCCTCTGCATTTGTTGGCAAAGGCACACCGCCACCGCCGCGCCGTCTGCCCTGTTTGAGATACATTATTGCAACGCGCGACGTTGTCGTGCTGTATGCGCAGTCTACGACCACTCGCATTAGCGTTAGGGTGCGCGCGCGCACACACACACACACACACGCAGTGTCCGTCTGCCAGTGTACCTGCTTCCGCGTTCCCCCAGCTCCCGTCCAGCCTATTTTCCTTGCGCGTGAAATGATAATAGAGATGGGCAGCTCGGCGATGCGACTAAAACGCGCCAAAACCACTTTTTTTTTTCTTTTTTGGCGCCGCTGTTCTCTTTGTCTGTCTTTCTCTGGCCACCCTGCATGTTCCCACGCCGGGTCCGTCTCGCTCGCTCTTTTATTGAAGCGCAGTTGGCCAGGTTCTCGAAAGCGTCCTAACTTGGATGCAGAACACTTTTAGCGTAATGCCATCGAGTCCCCCGACGACTCGAGACCCGCGAGCGCGCCGCTCCACGGGCGGATCGGTCCGTTTAGAGCCCCCAGATGTTTTATAGAACGCCGTAAAGTAGAGAGGCACCTACGACTCGTAAAACGGGTTCTAATTACGGGAACTACAGTCGCCATCATTATTCATTGGCTGCAGGTGAGAACGGCCTCCTTCCATTCCCCGCGGATGAGAAATAAAGAAGGCCCTTGAAATTTATCCCGGGATCGAGATTAGCGACGCTGGAGGGCGGTGCTTTCTTTTCCTCGCCTCGTGATTTACCGCCCTTATTTCGGAACGCCTCAAGCGCCGGCCCGACTTAACTCGTCAATTTGTCATCTTAATCGTGGGCCGACCTCGAGCCTCAGCGCGCGCGTCCCGGAGGGATGCTCGGGGGCCGTGTGTGCTGGAACCCCCACGGGGCGGGGGAGAGTTAGACAAAAAGAAAGGCGGACAAAAAGTGAGTCAAAAACGGAAAACAAAAGGGACACGAATTCAAGGGGCAATGAATGGGTGTCTTGTCCTGCATACGTGCCGCCAATTTGCATAAGTCGCCGGTAGCGCCTAAGCAAATCCCCGTGCTGCCCGTAAATCAGGGACCGCCGCTCCGAAAAGGTGTGCGGCCACAAAGGGCCACTGTGCTGGACCGCCGTGGACCGGCTGGCCTCGCGGTCCAACGTCGGGGCGCGTTACACCCTCTTCTTTATTGTTATTATTTTCTGGATCGCGAGGAGAGTTAAACCCATAAAAATGCAAATGGTGGTTTCGGCCGGGCTGTTATACGCACGCGGGCCGCAGCTGCGCCGCGTTTGATTCGGATGTCAAACGCCGCCAAAGTTTGGCGGCAACTTTTGGCGGGCTGTGTGGCGAGCCGTTGCCCGCGGTCATTACTGATGATGCCGTGGAGATATGGATATGTGGATGTGCAACCCACATGGCGCGAGTCCAGCGGGAGGGGGCTGCGAGATGGAGGCACCGATATTGGCCAGGAGGTGCAGGAAAGCGAAATGTTGGCATCCGTTCGCGGCGTCTTGTTGTGCTTTTGGAAACAGGAGTGCCGCAGCTGGAGCTGGAACAGGCAGGCTGGAACGAACGCCTCCTGCGACAAGTACAGCACAGTCCCGCGAATTGCAAGGTTGTGGCGTGCGTGTTGGCCAGACGCACGAGACGGGCATGGCGCCCGGCTCCTCGGTGGTACTCGCACCGTCCTGGTCGCGCGCCAAATTAACTTGCTGTCCAAAACGGCACCTTGGGGAGGTGTGACTGTGGCGACACGACCGCTCCACGCACCTGGGCCTCGGCCTGGGCCTCGCCGTGGCAAAGTGCCCTAACGCCACCGCTCACTAAGCGAGCTACTTTTTTTCCTGGACTCTGTTGCCGTGTTTTTGTTTTAAGGACTTGCTCTATGAAATGAAGGCATTGCCACGCGGGTGTTCTTCGGTGGTCTATTGCCGTCCGCAGTACCATCGACAAAGCAACGCATCTGCGCTAATGCTGTTTTTTTTTTCTCTCAAAAGCTAACCAATTATTTTCTGGTTGTTCCAGGTTTTGGGTTCGTTACGTTCCAGTGCGAGGATGTCGTGGATAAAGTTTGCGAGATCCACTTCCATGAAATCAACAATAAAATGGTGAGTGTGTATCAAGGCGCGGGCAAAGTTTTTCAAAAAGACGGAACAGTTTGTTGGGGCTGCATTGACAGACTAGCAGTGCAGGTGTTAGCCAGTAGATCCGCAGGGTCGAAAATGGAGTTGGGCAAATGGGACTTGTGGAACTACTTACTGATTGATGCCAAGGCAGAGAAGCGGCAGCCTGACGAGAGCGAGCTGGTGGGTTTGATGCGCCCCAGGCCAAAGGAAGACTAGGCCAAAGTACAACTTCCTCGACTCGTGCCTGTTAACTATGCTTACCTGTCTACAATAGTGGCTCTCTACTGGCCTGTCTGTTCAGCATAATTTACATTTGGAAAAATATGCGCAGCTTAAAATGTAATAATGGGGCTCATTCTATTTTTGGCTTGCTGCCTTGCGAACGTTGCAGGGGCGCTCTCCGAAAGTAATGTGACGCTTTGTTCAAGCGCAGTGAATGCGTTTCATTCACGCACGGCGCGCTGCGCACGCGCTGCGCATTGTGTTCCGATGCTTTGTTTCCGTGTCGCAGTGACTCGCAGTGCCTCGCAGGCCTCGCAGGGCCTAGCAAACGCCAAAGCACGGACGTCATTCAGCGAAATGCTCTGACCTGCTAGAACTGGGATGTGCCTAAACCTAGCCCTCTCCTCTCTCCAGGTCGAGTGCAAGAAGGCCCAGCCCAAGGAAGTGATGCTGCCGGCCAACCTGGCGAAGACACGCGCTGCGGGGCGCGGTGCCTATGGTGAGTTGCTGGGGGGCCCCGGGGGCGGCGGTGGGGCCGGGACTAGAGCGGCGGGGGCGGCTGGCGGCTCCGCGGCGGGCGGTACCTCGGCGTTGGCCGCCGCTGTGGCAGCCGCCGCTGCCGCCGCCGCCCCGCCGAGCCTGACGTCCACCTCGGCGTACCGGTACTCGCCGTACCCAGCTCCGCACCAGTTGCTGCTCGGGCCGGCCCACGCACAAGGCCTGTACGCGCACCAAGCGGCCGCCAACTGCAAGCGGGCCATGGCTGCGGCGGCGGCAGCGGCGGCAGCGCATGCGGCCATCCTCAGGCAGCCCGCGCAACCCTCGCATTTGTCGTACTCGATGAGCGACCTCGTCGGCCTGCAGGGCCTTGACGTCTCCCTGTACCACCCACTCCCCATTGGCCTTTGACAGAGCCTCCTGCCGGCCTCGCTGCAGGGCTCGTTGCAGGGCTCGCTGCAAGGCTCGCTCAGCAGCCTGCAGCACTCCCGGCACCCGCAGTAACTCCGGTTGTCTCAGTGATTAACGTACTTAAGCAGTTTTTGCTCGCATTTACGTGTATACGGCCTGAGTCCGTCTTTGCATAGTTCATATCGATATTATATCTTTTTAATCATTGCTGGCCGTTTCTAGGCCTTGCGCGTTACTATTTGTTGTTGAACTTATTCTCGCTTTTTATGGGGGCCAAATTGGCTCCGTGCGCATACGAAAATATTTACACTAAATATAGTTTTTGGCTGTTATTTGGCAAGTGTTGGTTTACCTAACATGTGTCTCCAAATATTTATAATATACTTGAGGATACCAGTCGCGTACCTTTTTTTGCATATCACTGTAGTTCAGATACTTGCCAGTTTTTGGCCCCAGTTCTAGTCGTTTTAGCATTTATTGATATTTTGATAAATTATTTATCTTAACATTCCAAACTGCGTCAAAAAAGAGGGTGTCGCGGTGCCCCCTTTAACTTTATGTTCCTTGAAAAGTGATGGGGCAATATTCCTCCCTTTGATTAGAAGCCACTTTTACAGGGATTCTTTCTGTGATCCGTTAGATGCATAGCGTTGGTGAAGGTAAACAAAAGACAGTGGTAGAAAACCGTGACAAAAAAACTGCCGTCATTTGACCACATAGGTAGCAAAAGAGATATAGTATCTTTCCCGCCTACAGCCAAATCAATTCTCAACTAATGCAGTGCAACGGCTGCATACAACTTTTATCTTTAAATGAGTTTCCCTGCACCCTTCCGCCATGCGCTGCCGCCACAGTCAATGCCGCTCGCCGACTTATTTGGCTCTTAAAAGGAACAGCCGTTTTACTTTGCTAGTTTTCCATAGAGTTGTCTGGAAATCCAGGCTTCCGTCTGATGTTGCGCAAATAAAGCTGCAAAGCTCTCAAATGTTTAAGCCACGTTGGTCGAACGTGTCACAAACAAGCAGGCCCTTCTATATAAGCTGGATTAAGCTGATACGCACATCGTGAAACTATGCATGATTTCCTCATTAATCATACCATAAGAAGCATTCAATAATGATCTGCAGATTAAATTGTACTTAACTTTCTTTCTTTTTTTTGTTATTTGGCGTTTTGCTGAATGTGAACAAATAACAAGGACTTCCGTTGGTACAAATAAGTAGAAAATTAATGAAGTCAAGCCAGATATTTCTAGTAATATTTCGATATTTCTAGTTCATAAAAAAGACGTCCAAGGATCAGTCCAAAAATTTTGCATTGCAACGTGCCATCCTCTAAGTCGCCCAGTTCCTAAACTTTGATCTTATTTTCTTTTGTTTTATTTTTGACACATCAACTACCAATTATTTTTACGTTATTTTATTTTTATGATTACTTTTATTTTTAAGTGAGGCATTTTTGCTGTGTACTTGATATTCTTGTCCATATTACGGCAAATGTGGACGAAGCCTTTTTATGATGATATCTTGTACTTTGGAAAATTGAGTTTCAGAATTTGTCCGATAACAATTAAGTGCATTTTGTGATGGCCGCTTCAATGAGGTGTTCTAAAACATATGCACTTTTCGGGCACGTTTTGTAATAAGCCCCTTTGTAAGATATCTTTCATGAAATTTCATAATATCTTTTCAGTATTCAATATGAAAATTACGCGTTAGGTAATTCTGTACATTTTAATTGTTACTCATGTGGCAGGTAATGCATAGGAAGTCTTTACTGTGTATTTATATCTACTTATAACCCAGGTCTGATTGTTGATTTGTTACTTTCCTCTCTTAGAAAAATAGATCATTCTATGAACAACCTTAATATCCCAACCAGTCGCTTTTAACTGTCGGGCAAAGTGTTTTCGTGCATTCTGACTGTCGAACGTGAGATTTTGAGACTAAAGTAGCTTTGTTAATGTTATGATGACTGAAAGTCGTTTTTGACTTACATTATTTTTTTCCAACAGATCTTAAATTCATTTGTAGCTAGCAATTAGAACAAAATCAATATAGATTTAGCTTAGATCCCGGATTTACATTTATGTATTATAGAAAAGAGAAATTTATCCAGATAGGCAGACATAGATTCTTTGATCTAACATTGTAAGAAATCTCATTTTCTAGGGATCAAACAAATAGAAAATTTTCATATAGATGATCTAAAGTCCTATTATTTATTTATCGTTACAGTCATTCCGTTTTCATTTGAAAATCTCAAGCTCACTGACATAAAGAGAGATGCGACTGCAAATGTACGATACACAGATTAGCATTAAATGCTACAGACCCAATTAATCATGTGTATTCCTGACATAGGTATTTCCTTTTTAGAAAATAAGGCATAGATGATCTAGAATCAAACAATGTATAATAGAGCTTTTCTGTATAGAGGATTGTACCATATTTATTATTGTGAACACTTTCATAACGGTAGTGTTATGAATGTGCATAACTGTATATTGGTAATGGGATCTGTGATTTTATTTCGTCAAGCTTTCTTGAGATTCCTGCTCACCATGTTGCCCACCATAATGGACAATTATGTGCCGTCTATGGCCCTAGTTATCTTTCCCGGCAAAGCGGGTTGTAGGTAGCCTTATACTGTACAAAGAAGAATAGAAGCGTCTTTATCCAGCTGCTCACACGGATCAATCGACCTGGAGGTATATTTTATATACTCTGCCTCATGCAGCACTATAGCGCAGCGCCACTAACCATAGCGGTTAGAATTATTCAGAACTTTAATATTATAGAGTTTGTCTCCTAGGTGAAAATTCTTGACAACCATGTATTTTAAATGTCTTCGTAGTTGTACTTATAATATATTGTCTGTTTGAAATAAAATGTTTGAGATATGTACGTTAAAAATTGTTGTCATAATTTTGTAGAATAGTTAGCCTTTAGAGTAGCAGTCGTAGAATAGACTCCTTTTCCTTGTAGTGATCCTTCTGTAGTTCCCCAATTCAACACGGATTGTGAAGATACTAGTCCGGCAAGAAGAAAGAAGATTGATCCCTGGTCCCGATATGATATTAAATTTTCCTTTTGTGCCATGAAATGTAAACTGATATTCATTTTTTTTTAAATTCAACAGTAACTAAAAAAAGAATTGACTGACTTCAAAATTTAAATTCTTTTGAATTTATCAGATTATTTTTGCAATGACCGGGAAAAGGGCCTAAGTTCAAACTATTCTAAATTTCTGTAGAATTTGAGTCAAAGAAAACATGTTTCTTGTAAACAGAAAGGCACAACAAGACTGAAACATTTAGATCAAAAGAAGATCAGTTTATAGAAAGCTTTTATAAAGAAATGGAGAACGGATCATATGTTTCCCATAATTAAAGAATTGACAAACCTAGCTTTGTAGCTTAGAACCATATTTTACAAGAATTTATTTTTAAAAGCTACTGACAGAGTACGTGTAAATGAAAGCACAAGAAGCGTGATATTGTGCTAAATTTATCTGCCATCTATCTAGTTTTTTGGTGTGAGTTCTATGTCTTTGTCTTACTGTCTAGTGAAATTTTCGTTAACGTTATCATAGTTACTTCCACTAACCATAGACCTCATAACATAAACAGCCACCCTTAAATCTGTTTGTTACTGTTTGGTTGTGGATCTTTATGTAAATATGAGTGGGCTTTTGTTGTATAGACGTGTGTTAACATTCAAACAAATGTGTGATGTAGGTTTTACAAACAACTTTTCATTAGCAATACGTAATTTTGTTACTTAGAAATTCAAATATCTCAGTTCTGTTTATATCGACCATTCACATTTTGTGTTGGTGCGTCCTGCCATAGGAATTCGTAGATTCGTAGCATAGCCAAGATAATCAATAGTTGTTATGAAATTTCATGGATGCTATCTTCTAAATTTTGTTTTCTTTCATTTTAAAAAATTTATACTCGCGTGATTTTTTGCCCATTTAACTGGTTTTTATCCCTTTATTCTTTACAAACGGCCGATTTCCAACTACGATAAAAACATTCTTTTCATGCAGTCAATCTTTAGAGTCAACAATTTTAGCAAAGCGAAAGGACTCAATAGCGGAGTATTGACACGTCGGCGATAGAAAACGTGTGGAAAATTAGTTTTTCCTTGGTTACTATTCTCTTTCTTTTCTGGTGTTCTAGATTTCATGTGGTCTCTGGGAGCTTTGCCTGAGGGTAAGTACGACCATGCCAGCCATCTAGCATGATGAGCATGAAGTTAAGGCGTAGGTGTGGATCGGCCAGCGCAATATATCCGTTCACTGCACTAAATCAGTTGAAGTGCGTTTTTATTTTAAATTTGCCACAGTACATATACAACCGTATTTTGAATAAATTTTATTAATGTAGAAATTTTCAATTGTTGCTTGGTAAACGAAGTTCCACTCCTCAAAGTTTGCTACGTGTTTCTTTAACTCGAAAAGCTGACTTAAAATTTGATTCCTTGTAACGTGTAAATTAAACGTAGAATATCGAGCTTGTAAATGTAAGAGCTTCAGTTAAGTGGTTCACCATTTTTTATAGATTTTCTAGACATTGAGCACTATAAGTTTGTTTCCTTAACAAACTCTTATTTAGCTATTTACTTACATCTCCTTTTAAAGGTCCTGCTGCCTACAAGGCAACGTTGTCCATATAATTTGAGCTCAGAACGACCCTTAAATTAACATTCTAAAGCGGAAATCAACTATTGGACATCCTGTCCATTGTCGCACTTGATATTACGTACATCAAACATTTTTATTTCTTTCCATTATATTTGTTTCCATTTTATCGTCTAGACTTTAAAGTGGTATTATGCAATGCAAAACAAAAGGATTTACATTGTAATTTTATATACTCTGGCTTTCATAGTCTTGTAAAAATCTGCGCATCATTGCTGCATAAGTATTTGTACTCATTGATAGCTTTGTATAATGATTACAGCGTGCGACAAAACAAAAGGTTAAGCAAAAGATGTGCATTTTCATCAAAGTATGAAACATATTTTCACCGTACTACAAACATCAGCTTACTTCAAACCAGTTACATTGCTTGATTTCAGTCAAGTTCTAACATGAAATTTGATATAAGACCAGGTTTAATTAATTGTAACATGCGCGTTGAACTGCAAAGGTTTCCTTTAGCAAAGTAATATTAAGGTGCTAGCAATTTTATCTTTCTGACTCGTCTTAAAAGTAAACAGCGTAGACAAAGCTTAGTTCAGTGTAATTTACAGCACATGCTTCATTCGATTTGATAAGTTATTGCCTATAGATATTTTAGTCTTTAAATGTGAATAGGGAATTATCTTAAAAAATAATGTGGTAGATAGTTATTATTGTTGGTTGTGACTCAGATACTTCACCCCGTCTAAAATTATTTTGATGAACGATCCACCGATTTATTTTGCAAGCAACTTCAAGTTGATTCCTAAACTGATATTTTGCACTTACGTATAAAGCAATGCCCATTGTTATGTTGAATTCCATTTTAGACTAAACGGCTGTAGCGACACCTGCTGATTGATTCTGCGACAGCTGCAACTAAAATGAATTTCACGATCATTAATTTATTATTTGTTTCTGTGTGCAGGTTTCCCAGCGGCCGCATACGCCGCCTACGCGGCCGGCAGGGGTTACTCCGGTTATCCAGGCTTCGGGCTGCCCTATCCGACAGGTAACAGCCAGCAGCACCTGGCTGCGGCCAGCTTGCACCACCACCACCACCACCATCCCCTTACCCTCCTCCCCTTGCCCTTGGACCAGCTCAGTGCCGTTTATGGTCCTAGTCATCTTCCTCTCTAGGCCTCGGGATATCCTGTGTCAATAAGTTTGCCTGTAAAGCAGCAGTTACATGTTGATTCTGGGTTAAAGCAGGCTAGTCCTTCAGCATATTACTGTGACTGTTGCTTTGTTCGCAATTTTCCTTTCCTGTTTGGGCAACCAGTATGGCTCTTAATGCTTGATGAACGCATGTGCATTGCTGTGTTTTGTGAATTCTTGGTATTACTGTCATTGCATCCAATGTGGACTGCCTCTCATAAATAAGTTATTGGCTCGGGTTGTGAAAGCCTCTCCTCTGACTTTTAAGCCACCACTAATATAGGTTAATTTAATAAATATCAACTAAAGGCAAGTAAACATGAAATTCAGCACACTCTTACCTTTTTAGAAAAACACACCACAAAAATATGTTGATGAACAGATACTTTAAATAACCAGATGGGTAGTGAGCAACTAAAGAAGGAACGTTTGCCCTTTATAATTGATGAAAATCGTTAATGTACGACACTCTTAATTCTCAAATTGGAGTCATTTCTCAATGTTGAATAATGCAACTTTAGTAACATTTAACAAACGATTGTTGAAAGAAGATTTTAGTTGATTCTAAACAACAGTGGCATCATCTAAAACCAAACCTGTGTATAATTAGAGAACAATTATTCAAATTGGATATTCACAACTTAAATCTATACCTGCAACATATATTTGCTTATTTTATGTAGATCTATCAAATTACACCTAGATGCAATTCTTATCAATAGGTAACAGTTTTGTGTAGAGTGTAGAAAGGATATTCCGTGAAATTAAATAACGTGCTATTATCTTTGTATGTAAAATAAGTAGGAACCATTGTCCATATTCAAGGGGTAGATGTGTAACTAGTTCCAGTCACCAATCCGTAAATTTTTTAGTTAAATTAGGCCATATTATGTAAATCAATATACGACATTTCCTTGCTTTCCCTGAAATTATTATTAGGTGGAGTACTAAATTAAATTGTTCAGTTCCTTAAAGAATTTCCTTGGCAAAGACTTTTTGAAGTTCCGTCTACAAACGGGGCCAACGTCTTTCATAAAGTTTTCGTTACCGTTAAAATCCGAAAGAGACATACTCTTGAAAGCCAAGACGCACATGTAAGAAACTCTAAATGTTTATGGCATGTCAACTTTGGCGCTGCACCAACCTAAAACGCCGCTTTTACCGCTAAACAGCGCTTTGCGCATCGTTTAAAGCACAAAAAGCTCCAAATTTGGAAACATTGTAAATGATACAATTAGAAAATTCGCTGCACTTCTAGAAGAGGAGCGTAATGTTCTAAAAGTATGTCTTTGACATATATTTTTCACTACTATCGTTAAAAGTTTTGTTATTGGTATGTCTGACCGCTTTGCACAGGGAAAATTTACAGGCAAAAAAAATTTAATCTGTTATAAATGCCGTTTTACACGTTGTTTTTACGGCACGGCATAAGACTCTAAATGTACAGTTCAGGTTACTTGCTAATGGCGTAGGAGCCCAGCCACAATCGTTTCCGTGAACGGATTTGATGGGGGATTTTGCTAAGGCCTCAACATGAAATTTTTGTTAACACAAGCCTGACATGCCACATTTTGCCATTAACCTAGCTTGTGCCACTAAATGCCATAAACGGCTTAAATTATATTTTAAGGTTAACGTGGTTTTCATGTGTAGGCCTAAGAAACATTTCTCTTCGCTTTTTGACTGGTCAAATCATATATTTACTCTTAAGTTAAAGCTATGTCTAATGATTGTACACAATAAGATTACTGTGATTTTAAAAAAATGTTGGCAAAACACATGACTGCCTTTTTTTCGCAAAACAATTTATTTTTTACCGCAATATAATTTTTCTTTTCTTTTAAATATTCTACAGGCGTATTTCTCCGAGCCACTTAGTTTATTTAAAACTATACCTATTTTGCTTCAGCCAGGAACTGTTGATTCCTGGAAAGACGCGGTTATTCTTAAAAGTGATTATTAAAAGTAATTTTACAGCTCTGCCATGCCCATGCTTTTTGAAGTAGCCATTCAAGCAATTTTTATTACATTAAGAACATGCGGATATCCCAAGGCTAGAGGGTGGGTTTTGGGTTGACCGGATCTTCAAAATTCCTTATATTTTACCTTTTTTGGGTGACGGTAAAATCTTCTAGACAACTTTTCTAGGTTTATTTTTATCTGTGATTAAGGTTGGTAGTTCATTCCCGACAATCAATGCAGGATGGAAGAACTGAGATATTTGCTTGCTGTATTGCTGTGGGGAGTGGTTTGAGTGAAACACAAGAATACACGTTGTACAAAGAAATCAGCCTATGTTTTAATAATGGTGTTATGTTGTTTGAGTGGAGCAGGAAAGTTATAGAATGGTATAAATAAGTGCACCAGTAAAAATTAAAAATGATTTAATGTCCAGCGCTATTAAGCTATGTGTTAAGTTGAGATAAAACGTTTTATTCTCTTTCCATGAATAGAAGTTTGAAAACTTCGCGAAGAAATGGATGAAAATGACGCCCATGGCAAACCAATAGTGATTGTTTTAGCCAGCATTTCTCTGGAAAGAAGTGCGTTATATATTAAGATGTATACATTGCGTTGAACTGTTGAAACATGAACGAAGTAAAGTTATCTGGCATGCAAAAAAAGTGTCATTGAAAGGACGATGAAAATGTTGGACACGTGTTGGGAGATTTCTTTTTAAAGCTTTTGTTTATAACCAATCGTTAAAAATTACCGTGATTAAACGTTTATAAGCCAAATCATGTTTTCTACATTGATATAAGTTTTTGCGCGCTGTGCATTTTTTGCACTAACCAAAAAAGTCGACGATTGATGATATTTAGTTGATTTTCAGCAATCCTTTGTATGTTTGCCCAATCTCTTAGTAGTGTGAACCGGAAAAATCAATTAAGCAGTCTGAAAATACCTCAAGACTTGTGATAACAGAAACATTCAGACAGAAACGGAGTGGAACTAGTTTAAATTTGCTCCTGGAATAATATATGTGCACAATAGTGCCTTCTACGACAAATAAATTGTTCATGTCTGCAATTTGATGCATTATCTGGGATCCTCTTATCCCTTCAGTATTCCAACGCATTTTTGCAAACAAAAACACTAAATTGATGCAGAATTAAAAGAAACCTTTTATAGAAATCAGATGATTCTTTGCTACTCATTAAAATTACACTGTAGATACCCCACAAAAACATACTTGATATATGGTTAAACCACTATTATGCAAGGTCGAAGCACCCAGCTTGAGGCTGCACGTTGCGTTTATAGTACATTGTGCCTGACATAGGTTTCAAGCTGTGAGATTTATAAGGAATAGATACAGGGCAGCTGAACCTCTTTTTCAAATTTTGCCAAACGTTTCTAGTTTGTTTGTTCTTTTTTCAGAAATGGATTTGAAATGCTATCAAATTTTACTTGTCCATAAAGTGTTCAATTCCGTTTTTTAATTGAAGCAGTCTAAACCTTTTGACAAAACATTGTTTTATGTGGATCATCACTAAAACTCAAGTGTGTTTTAATCCTCTAATTTCTGTATGTCCTTGCCCTTATGGAACCTAGTCTCTTAAGATTGATAGTAGAACCTTGTAGTTTCTTTATCAATACATGAAACATACTTTCCACCTTCCTTGCAATATTTAAAAGAGCATTTTTTTTTTCAATTCCGCGGTGCACAAAAATGCTGGCTTCGTTCGACTTAAGTAGAAAGCTTCCAAAAGCCTTAACAGAGCAAAGGCAGGATATCCAGCCTTTCCGTTAGTATAAAATAACAAAGGAATCAGTCCATTAGCATGTTGTCTGCTTTCTGTCATAAAGAAAAGTCATACTGACGAGCAAGATGACTGAAATAATTACGCAGTTTAGGTCCATTTTTAATTTATTAGACTAGATCCTAGGTTGCATAGACGTTAGATGTTGAATCTCATCCGCACTGCAGTCATCATCAGCAAGTTTTTAACGAAGCCTTCCTGTAAAATATTGGTATAGTAGCCTTCGACCTTGCATAGCTCATTGCTGAAGTGAAATGCCACTTTTGCCACTGGGGTTCCATGAAGTATAAACAGTGTACTATATTATGAGATCAATTCATGCTGTAAAAATACATAGAACAAACAAACACTAGCATGTAGCGATCGCGGACTTCGATGACAAGCAGCCAGGAAGCTTTAAGGAAACCGAAGGAATTTCTGCACCGCGTGGATTCGTCACGTTTCTTCGTCATCAATATTTGGGCGAGTAATAATTACCTACCAGTCTAGCTCCAGTCTTTGTACGACCCGAATGTTGCCACTAGGTCTAGTCCAGTTTGTTTCCACCTTATTGGATAGTTCCGAGTGTTTCTCGTAGTTCATCATTTGCGTGTTTTAAGGGTTACAAATTGTAGTCATGACTGTTGTTCATTCCAGGCCAAGTGCGTAGAAAGAGATTCGTCTAGACTAGTTTCCTCGTCCGTATGTTTAATCGTCCAAGTTGTGTAGCGACCTGTTTTAGTAAAACATTGTACAATGCTGGACAACTTACAAAACACATCAATCAGGCTACAAGTTTTTAAAAAAAACGTTGATTTGAAATAAGTATAATGGGTTTAAATGCCAATTATTCTTTGAGTGCTATCAGTTACCACCTAAACAGTTCGTATAGTATACCTGTGGTAATGTGAGGAGTGTAATACCGTATTATTATGTGATCGTTCATTGTAGCCTGGCTGAATTTGTAAGGTTGGATACTTTTTTAGCTGGTGATTGTACTAGAAACTATGACACTGTCCTCTTTGCTCATTAGTGATGTTATTCATTTATACCGTTCTAAGAATTTATTTTAAAAAGGTGTAGATAATTGGTTTCATTCAAATTGTGTGCTTTGGTGGTTGGATCTTTAAAAATGTAGTTAACTTCACTTCTAACAAAAATATTGCAGTTCCAAATAGATATTTTGTCATATTGTTGGAGATCAGAGTAGTAAACAGTTAGAAGCTATCCTTGAGCAAAATTACTAGGTGGCCCTGTTAGAAGTTGTTGACAGTTTATTTTCCTTCGATTGCTGAAAGATGTTGAAGAAATCAATAACACTTAGAGGAGATGGTATTTTGCAGGTACACCTGCCCTTAACCTACTGCATTCAAAGTTTGAACATTGTCTTTATAATTATCGGTACATTGCTGGTAATAATGTAATTTTAGTCATAATCTGGTTGACTTTTAGGGTCTACCATAAACGTTCTTCCATTTACAAAATAGATACTTTGTGTGTTCGTATTTGACAACTGTACTTTCTGTTAAACAAAAAAATTGTTAGTAGAAAATTTAGAGAAGAAAACTTAAGGTGCATTTTAAAGACGACTAGGTTCTTTATAGAAATTAGTTCAATATTGTGACGAAAAAAGTATCAGTACTCCCCTAGGTTTCAGTAGTCTTGTATACATGGGAACAGTGTTGTTTAGACACCATTTGAAAATAGATTCAAGGTAGATGGTCAAAGTAAATTACAGTACAAAGTGAAAATACACATGGCTGTGGTATTTGCATTGGACAACGTGTGGTTTTTTTTTTCTCAGTAAGGCTTTAGTACCTGAAGTGTGTTCAGTCTAGATCGCGTGACCGTTTAAATTAAAAATTGTTATTCATCGAATCAACCTAATTGATAGATGACATAATAGCAATTTTTAATCATCTGTAGATTTGAATTGCAGTTTTTTTTAGCAGATCAAACTTTTAACATCTTAATTCTTACCTTCAAGACCCTGTAGCAAAGCTGTGGTGCCCTTTCCATCTAAAAACAAGCTCATAAAAGTCTAAACTGAATAAAACCATTCAAAAAACATGTCAGAGGGTCCTTACAATATTGCCATGAACAATGTGGTGGTTGAAGCTAGTATTTTAGGTTTTTTTTGGTGCAAGTCGTTTGTAATGAGTGTGCTTGTTTCCTCCGTAGTGTATTAGATTTGTGAACGTGGTCACTGGACAAATACTGTCGCTTAAGGTGTCGTTCCTGTTTTGGGCTTATGTCATTTGACACAAGCCTATATTTTACTTCAATGAAACGTGCACTGTCATTGAAGCAGATTTCCCTGTGATTTCTTGTGCTCCCATAGCCGTTTTCTAAAGCGTTGTTTATCCTAATATAGATACATTATAATTCCTCTACTAACCGCTTTCTCTTACCGTTATGCGATCCTTAGTGATATCCACATCAAACATTGCTCTTGGCCTTTTTTTTTTTTAGAGTGGCTTAACCGTACTTTTCCTTTTGGGCCCAACCAACGTTGATGAAATATGTCTGGTTTTTAACCAGAGATGTGTCTATTTTTCTGACAATTTTGTAGCATATGTTGTAGAAATGAAAATATACTCACAGAAAAACAAAAATAACAGCTTCTTTAGTTGCTCTACAAATCTTTCTTCCTCATTAACGATCTACTAGACAGCATAAAGGAACGCCGAAGTAATTTAATTTACAAGTAATCATGAACTGAAATGCGGAGTGCACTAAAGAAGTTGATACTTTTGTTATGAAGTGGGAACCTGTAGTTCCATACCCAATCTAACTCTGCGCGTGCGTGTGTGTGCGTGTGTGTGCAGTGGACCTCACCAATGGCCAGCTTACACCCAACAACAACACCCCGCTTCTCACGCAGGCTTTATCAGGTAAGTAAATAGCTAGGGCTTCTTTGACTAAAAGGGTGTACCAAGGTTAAATCAGCAGCTATAAGATAACGGTTCAATACATGTTGAGTGGCTCTCCATATTGGATGCACAATACCGTAGGATGTAGTGTATTGGTTCTAATATGAGTAATTTATTGCACTTTTATAGATTAGAATAATTTTAAATTTATTCTACACGAAAATCAGTAAAAATTTTGAGCCTTTTGAAACTGCGACGCATATTTGTTGAGTACCTTGTATCCTTTAAGTTACGCCCGCAAGTATAAATAAAGTTTGGAAGCGTCACATCTTTACGGTTTGATAAGGGACTGTGATAAGGCCATCAGTTTATTCAGTTCAAAAATGTTCCTTCTTGTTTAAAAGGCTCTGCTGAAAGTTGGCACACATCAGCTTTCCATATAACCACTGCTGTTATGCACTACCCTATCTTATTTGTCAGCCTGTTTGAATCTGGATAATTTTATTGTTGGTTTTTGTCTTGGTTTTTTGTTTTTACCACTTCTGGAACGCTCTAATTAACTGGGGCAACAGTCAACTTATCTTTCAAACGTTATTAAAGCAATTTGAAAGGTACATTTCAACCTTGTATTACGGTGTCCTCGTAACTCGTTTATAATTTTATGGGAAATCCTTAGAATGATAAAGGGTTGATTAGTAAGAGGTCAGAGTTCTGCTTCTTTCCGGGACTAGGGCTTTTGCATTTTGGTAGATGAAAGCCTGTAGTGTCTGCAAACCCATACTAATTGCCAGCAGATGACTCACAGAAGCTTGTACCAGTGCATGATGTTAGTTTGCTGTTGCCCTTGTCAGCTGTCCCCATGTAGGGGCGGGGGAATTCGATTTCATCCCTTGTTTGGTGAGAAATGTTTGGCAAATCAAGGTTTTTGTATGGGAAAGAGTCAAGTAGGCCGCATTTCTGTTTCAACTCTTCCGATATCGTTAACGTTGACACTTCTACCTAGCAGCCGTAGGTTAACTGGTTCAGCTGCAGGATGGGTATAGTAAGCTTAGAGTTAAGTGAGGCAGCACACGGTTCAACTTTAACTTTTCTTCTCCTTTCCTTCTACCCAAAGATCCGCCTCTATTATCCGCATCATCTCACTCCTTACTACAACGTGCCACATTCCGCTATCCACAAAAAGCTTCATTTTACAGTTTGAGAAATGGTTTTGACTATAATTTGCATGCAAAGGTTTCGTGTTGGGACGATTATTTCGGCTGCGGGTGTTCTGGCGTACTGACACGGATCATTGTCGGGTGTTCCAGTGATGAACAACTACCAGGCGGCGGCGGCCGCAGCTGCGCAAGGGTTCGGGCCACCAACATCCCCGCACTCAAGCCGAGGGGGTTTTCCCGCAGCTTCTTCGCCCGGGCCGGGCCCAATGGACCTGTACTCCTCCAGTGACTACGTCCAGGCGGCGTCCCCCCAGCCTCAGGGAGCATTTCCTGCCATGGCTGTGAGCCGGGCACCCGGCATCAACTACAGCCCGGTAAGGGTGAGCGTCCCCTCGTACTGCCAGTGCATTAATTCCAATTCATAAAGGAAATGGCAAAGATATAAAGCACATTACTATTTACTTTCTAACGCATTCACATCGGATTCTTTTAACAAGAAAATGTGTATTTATGATAAAAAAACTTGCCTCGAACTGGCAGTACCATTTGCAGAAGCAGAGTTTTTAACTTTCCTGTGACATAAAAGCAGGATTATTTGCAAACAAAATTTAATAACAAAAAATGTTTCTACTTTTTCAAAATATAAGTCTTGCCCTTCCACTTGCAGACACACTTGAAACTGAAAAAGAGAGTTTATATCCCCACGAATTAACATTGCTCTCTTTGTTAACCGTGTCTCACCCATCGAAAACGAATTCTTCTGACTGTACTCATTGATGACATTTTAAATGCTATAAATAAACGATCAGTTCAAAATAATATGAAACCTAACTGCGGTTGGACATATCCTCAGCTGGGAGGGCATATCCGCTTAGCATGATATGTAATATTGCTGCCATTTTAAATAAATGTAGCCAAGTCCTTACATTTCATTTTGCATCGTGCATTATGTTATCTTCGGTTACACGAACAATTATCCTTTCACGTAATCACGCAAACGTATCATTGACCTACTTTTGAAGGCAGTTTTAGGACTTAAACACTATTGCAGCACGTTAAATTTAACTGAATCGTAGATTTTTTTAGAAACTAGTCTTACTGTAAAATGGTGCATGGATATTTTATCTGTTACAGGGGCCATTGATTCCCGCTGCTTTCACCAATGGGTACCATTGAGCAGCGTCACGAATAGGTACAGTCATATTCATTCTTTATTAAAAGCACAAAGACAATACTTTTTTTAAGAATCAATTCGATGTTTTAGGAGTGGGGACAAAGGCGGTGGAAGCTTTTGGCGTGCGGCGAGGGCAAACAATAGCATGAGGAGCTTTGAAGGCAACATCGCTCAGGGTTCTTACGGTCATCTCTGAAAATTCCCTGCATTAACTCGTCAGCTAGCCCCGCCTGCCAACGCAACCACGACTCTCTTGTGATTCTTTCTTTTTTTCCCAACCATTCAATGGAATATTGAAAGTATATGTACGTGTGTAAATATATATGTTATATACATATATAGTAAAGTTAACGTAAACTTTGTTACTAAGTCCTTGGTCATAAGGGGATTTAAGGAAGATGTTTATTAAGCTATACAGTTGTTTAACTCTACACGTATCTTTGTGATTTTTCTTTCCTTTCATTGGACAATTATTAGAGATTGAAATTTTCTTTTTTATTTTGTCTCCAATTTCTTTTAATAAATATTAGTGGAGAGATGTTCATATCTTCAGGTGAGGTATTTTTCTCATAACTTGATCCCTTTACCGAAATGTATACTTTTTACCCTCCGTATTGCATGTTATTGATGTTATGTGGCTGCCACTATATGGGGCCCCTTTTTCGATTTGTTCAGTATCTGCTGTGTGTGTGTTACTGGCATTTCAGCCAGTTATGTTTATAATTATCATCATTGTAGTTGTACAGATATATTAGTTATGTAAGTAAATGATTGCAGTTAACATATACACACCAACACTGCTCTAAGCGCAGTGCGCAATGAATGTATATCTTTGTGGCGTCAGTGACGTCTCTATCTACACTTTGCAATTTATTGTTGTAAACATTGTAAAATGTTATAAGTGCTGGCAAATCACAATGTTAAGAAATGTTTTGGTTGTCAGTGTTAGAGGCGTGTTTTCTGTCTCTCAGTCCTAGGTCAGTTTCCTCCCCCAACTCCTTGCCTCTTTCGGCGTTTCATTTGACTTTTTATTATTCAAATTGGCTTGTTATGATTTGTTTTTATCTTTGTGCCAAGAAGCCATCGCGTGCTATATTGTTGGCATGTATAGACCCGGAGAACGTTCAGAAAAGGTAGCTTGTCATGGCAGCTAGGGTCTTTTTTTCGTACTTGTTTTAGTTAGTTTTAAGTTTTATGACATATTTATGATGAACTAAATGTTATATTACAGGGTAAACGAATTAAAAGATTCCTTACTAATTATTTATGTATAAACAGTTTACTTGTTAATCAATCTCCTAATGGACCAAACAGAGAAAAACAAAACCATTATTATTTGTCGCCTTAAAATTCTGCACGGTGTTACTAAAGAAGGATCTTTCTTTTCGTCACGTAATCGATGTTTATTTGACAAACATAGGAACATTGTTCCCTCTCCACGTTTGTTCTCATTTTACTTTGTTTTAGTTCAAAATTATGTAACCCTCATTTCTTTGATGTTTCCTGCATTAATAGCAAGATCGGACAAATAATGCGAATTCTTCAAAAATTTATAAAACTTTAACTGTACCTACACATGCCTATATTTTCATTAATTTACGCATTTGTAAATATTTACTCATATTGATGTTTCGCGCTTGAATCCCACCTTCCCACGATTAAGGATGTGTTAGATAGTGTCCCATGCTTAATTTGCTAGGCTTAGTCTATGAATAATTAGGATTAGACTTGTAATCTTGTGAATCTATACACTAGATTATATTCACGTTTCCTTGTTAAATATGAGACAATGAGCTACAAAAACGTTATGATGCAATGTGATTTGCTTGTTTCTATTACATAGTTTTGTTCTAGTTTTTTTTAATGTTTTCTTGATGTTGCCCAGAATCAGCTGTATTGATTTGTTACTTTACGGTATTTTCATGCCTGTAAACAACTTTTTTTTATCTTAATTTGACGTTCAGTTTGTAGCATTATGCTTTGGCAAACGGAACCCATGGCGCATACTTAAAGAATTAATTGTGGTAAAACTTTGTCAATACCAAATAATTTTAATGATTGGTCCAAAGGTAGGCATATTGGTCGGGTGTTTGTGGAGGGACTTGTTCATCATAGGTAAGGCAATGTTTGTTTAGTTCTTTAAAAAACTGTTACACATGACGTGAATTTGCTTAGAAATTTTGGTTCAAGTGCATCATTATTGCTGCATTGTTTTTCTTATTTTGTGGCAGCTTCCATGGATGCGCCCCATTTTAAAGACATCCTGATCCCAAAAGTACTTTACTTCGGTTGGAAAGAAATTGTGTCGGCGGACTAAACACGCAAGTCCTATTTGAAGCCAAATTATTGACTAAAGTTACTGTGAATTGTTGTAAGTCTCACACTCTGCCTGTTGAGTGCTCGCATTCCCAACCTTTTTACTCTTGCAGACGTCCCCTTTAGTTTTTTTGTTTAAGGGGTCGTCCTGTAATTGTTGTCCAATCGAGTGAGTTATCGTTGCTGTCACGCACCAGTGATTTCCGTAGCTGTAGAATATACTTTAAAGCGTTTTGTACAGTGATGATTCTCTGCTCGTTTCGATCCGGACTTTGATTCACACTAATCGTGTGATAGAAAAGCGAAGTCATGAACTGACAATGTGTTCTCTAGTGCGACCACCAGGATAGACGTAGAGGCGTGTCTAGATCAGTCGGTAGATATTGTAATTTAATTTATTATTTGTTATTGTATTTATCGAGAGAGACTCCAATGCGGATAGGCAGACGAAATAAGTGGCCTTCCTGTCCGCGTTGGGAGTCGTTTTATACCTTCCACCTACCAAAAAAGTCATAGTAGATTTTATTTTAGTTTTCTGTTGAGTTTGTTAAGTCCTAATCACGTTAGCAACGGTAAAATCTCATTTTTTGCGCTTAAGCGTGAGAGCGATTCGTTATAGTTTATCGTCTGATGCGATTGTTTTATCTTATTTACTTGTCGGCGAATCTGCTGTGGGAAGAACAGTTTCCTTTGCCAGCATAATATGCAAAATGTTGCGCTTGACGCACTGATTCTATTTCCAACCAATGTTTCTTCCCTCTGGGTTCATCTCCCGTTTCTATTATTCAAAGAAAGACTGTTTTTGAGAAATTAGGCAGTAACTTGTCAGAAATAGTATAGGAGGGATCTGAAAGTAGAGTTGAGGTGAAGAAGATTTCATTGGAACCAAGTGATATAGTATGTATTTGGGGCATCCGTGTTTTTCTTGTGTTGTTCTATGTTTTCTTTAACATTTTCTCTTTATTAGCTGTATAGTCACTATAAAAATCTTTGAAAGCAATACACGTCTAAATTTTAATTGCTAATGCCTACTGTACTCTAAATATATGCTGTATTTTGATACCATAAATTTCTTTTTTATTGACTATTCTATCGTGCGTGAGTGAGGCAACAAATATGTGAGGATATAATTTACATCCCTTTTGTAAAGGCTTTGAATCCATTAGGGTTCTGCCTCAGCTATGGCCAAGCATTTCCCACATCCTAGTTTCGGCTGAACTGCACGAGCCGATTTCCTTCAGCACCAGTTTTCTTTATTGAACGTAAAGCGTAACCTTGCTTGCTGTAGAGTCAAACGTGACGAGGAAAGGTTGTATTGTAAATAGATTCAACATGACTGTGAGTGTGTGAAAGAGAGAGAGAGAGTAATTGTGTAAGCCATTAGTACCTAAAAATTCTAATTGTGGTCAGTCACCTGAAACACATTGTGGAATCTAAGCAATAATCACTATAACGTAAGACTATGTAATGTGTATAAAAGTGTGAGACGACTTTGTTTCGGTTTCCTTTTGATATTTTAGTATTATCTTACCCTTTCCCGTCGCTTGCCTGGCTTCGAAAATATTTCTTTCAAATAAAGCGACGATCGCATTGGCAGAAACACGCCTGGGATAAATTTTTGTTTTGATTCCGTCCCGCGTGATTTCTAATGGTTCCATCAGCAAGTAAAATCAATTCTTAAGCACGGTTACTAATACGCTAAATGGTTTGGCCTGCTGCAGGACTCGGCTCTTCACCAACGCTTAGCAAACAGAACTGTGTACATAACCAAAAATCATCACAAATTGACTGTTGCCACACACTCAAGCAAACGTAAGTGGTTTGTCCCCCACAAGGGGCATGTCTTCCTCTGTAGGCATGCAGTAACACAAGACAAAAATTTTAGAAAATAACAAAAAAACTCGTGAAATCTTTGTGTTGACTATGAATTATCTTGTTTATCTAAACTGTGTTTGTTATTGTGGTTCATATAATGTTTACAATATTACGATAATTGTGTATAGGGAATAATCATTATACTGTATATGTTAGAAAGCGCGCGTGGCGTGCCTACAGCTGTGAATGCGAGTTGATTGCTTTAAGGATGAGTTGTTTTGCCGTTGATATTTGGATGTGTTGGGCGCTTCTTGTGCACTCTCATTGTCTTGTTCGAGATTACTTTAAGTTTTCTTTCGTTCTGTGTAGAAATGCCCTTTAATTATCCGTGTTCTCCGACGAAATTCATACCTTTAAGTCACTCACATTTGTGCTTTTTCGTGAATTTTGACTTACAGAATGAAAGTTTCTCATAAGATTTTACAATTTTGTTGGTGATCATGTTGGATTATAAGTGTCTTTGCTGTTTTCAAAATAAAAGTTAACTTTGCCGAGTCATTTACTTGTTTTTTAATGTTGGATGCAGCGCTCAGGACTGTGTTCCTTGTATCAGCAAGTCTAAGAAAACACAGAATATCAATTGTCATTTTAAACTATCGTATATGATACGTTATTGTGATCGTAGTTGCAGATATCTACTCAAGTACAAGAACATCGCTCTTCGTGGCGTAGTAAGAATATTTAAATAATTAAGAAAAGTATCGCGAGCAAATAATCGAGAGGCAGCTTGCTTCTCGAGATTCAAGGACGCGAACGACATTTGATGTTGACTGTGTACGCTTGGAACTGTTAAGTTCGTTACAGTATTTTTAAAACGTTTCAATGGGTGTTCAGCGAAACACACCCGTATTATACAAAGGAGATTGTTCACAGAGATCACATTTTAATCTCATGTAAAAATCCTGTATGCAGAATAATAAGGTCATTTCGAGCCTTTAAACGTCAGAAGAGTACTTTAAACATCTTTCCGGACCCAGCACGAGAAAACGATTGTACCTTTCAAAACTATTGTGTTACTTAACAATAAACAACCAACGTGTGCTGTTTTTATTTTATACTATTGTCTTAACACCATTTTATGTATGATAGGCCTACTGTTTGTATTGCGTATGTATGTGACACTCCGATTGAAGAACTCACATCGGGTTTGTGGTGATCGCATTTTAGGAAATGGCAAGATAAGCTCACTGTGATGGTGCCTCGAGAAATCAACCCACGAGAATGGTCAGATGCCAATTCACAAACTTTAAGTACAGAGTATCGATACTACATTGATCTATAATTCTATCCTATTCACTATTTATACCAGTCATTCGTTGTCACGAAACTTGTTTACTGATTGAATTGGTGTCACTGATTAACATTGTCTTGGGGTGAACGACTCCGGACCATCCTCGTAGTGCTCACTCTCAGTCCCACTAAGTATTTTTCTGTCTTCGATGAGTTCTATTCTCTTAGATTCTTGAGGCCATTTTTGAATACTTCAAGTACAATAAGAACTGCCTGTCCCAGGGGCTTGGCCGGTCAGTTCGTAGTTTTCTTTCTTGTAAAGCGGCCAGAATACACCCTTTCTGGGGACTTCTTCGACTTTTATTTTCGTGGAGATTTTAAACCGGGTACATCTTAATGGTTTCACGTTACGAATGGGCCTGAAAGGGGTTTCATTCGACCACTATGCAAGAGATTTCGTCAATTAAAAGGGCAGGCTCACTGGTTTTGGGATCCACCGACCCTAGCTCCTGGAACTTATACAGTACAGTTGAGTCAATTCCTATCGTTTATGTGCTTCATTATATCGCATAACTCTTTACTCCAGATTGAGAAAGTATTCCGCAAAGATTCTGATATTTTTAATTCAAAACATTTGCCCAGTAACTGACTTTCTTCAAGGCATTGCATTATATATTACGTTATAAGAAAATGAGTCGGTTCAATTAAATTTTGATTCGATTTCTGCATATTATACCAGCTTACATGGCTTCTCCTTTTCTTCACCTTTTATGGCCCTAATAGATCTTCCAGTCATCCGTTCCTCTCTCATAGTATGTAATACTATGTTCGAAGAACAGGTCTGATAAATTAAATCCTGTGTAATTTTTAAAAAGCAGGCCTTTTTGTGCCGCGATCAATTTGATGTTAAATTCAATCTAGATAATTTCTACTTCTGTGCAACTGTCGTGATTGCTAATTTACTGAGTGAACTCTTTCATGATACCATTATCATTACCTTATTATAAAACTATGTTTACCATAATTGTAAAAAATTATTATTATTATTGTTGATGTTGATAATAATAATAATAATCTTATGTGGTTGACTTCGGTCTACTTCTGTACATATATGTGACGAGCTGCTCTACCAAAGGAGCTGCTATGTGTAACAATATTGATAACAATAAAAAATCACTACGGACAAAGTTCAAAAGAATAAACCTTCTATAATTTTTTCACCTACCTTCTCTACAGTTAATTCAACTATTAAAAATAAAGATTTAACGAAACCAAGATGGAACCTAAACGCTCGACCACATGAACTATCCAAGGCGAAACCTTCGGCCTTTTGTTGTTGGCAGTGTTGGAGACAAACCATTCTAATCAGGGCAGCACCGCCTCGGTGGCGCGCTGTGGCGCTGCGGCGTCGCCTCGCATCACGGCTAGTTCGAGAGGAATTTCAAATCCGCCGTAACTTAGTTCACCTAGTTTGGAGCGCGCGAATGCCTTGGAGGGCATAAATTAGATCTCTCGAGTGCTTTGTTTGTGGGCTCCGTGATCCCGGGCCGTCCCCAGCCAGTTCGGATCGCTGGAACGCAATCAGATCTTTCTCCCGACACATCGACACTGTGAGGGCGCTGGCGGCCAATGCAGGCGGGCAACCATGCAGCAAAACTAAAACAACAACCAAAAGAGAGTTAAATGAAGCAACTAATCTGCGCGCGCAATGCGTCACGCTGAAGCTTAATCCGCGGCGTTTCCGGCGACACACCCCGCCGTGCCGAACGCGCGAAATTAATCACTTTTTAATTGCTTGTCGCGTCGCTGGACGAGCTCGGTGCCGAGAGGACACGGCGGGCGGCATTTGATCTCCGCGGAATCCCCTTCCGGCTCAACCACCGACCGATTCCGAAGCATTTCGTCGCTCTGTCACTCGCGTACGGCCCATTTGACTGTGACAGAGACGGAGTGACGAAACGGGTCTCCGGAGTCAGCCTGCCTGCCTGCCGCGCAGCCTTGTCGCTGATCCCCAAAACTCGCGTTTATAATGTCGTTACGAACGCGCGAGGAACAACTGCCGGGGACGATGGACGCGTCGAATGGAGCCGCCCGCCCTTGCGGGCAGTGTAGCGCTTAACGGTCAGGTGCGGAGTGAGTTAGCGGGGACCTTGACGCCCGGAACTGCGTTCGTGACAACTGAACTAGTTGACACCACTCGCCGCCGGAGAGCGTGCGGGCCGTGCAGGCAGGAGGGGCAACACTCCCCGGTGAGGCGCCCGGCTCGCTCCGTGTTATAATTAAGTTATATCGCAACCCCTTGGCGGCGCCAGCGCCCTAATTAGGTTTCTTTTACAACTTAAATTGGTAAAGTCAACTTCTTGCGGGCCGCCGAATTTCCCCAACGGTTAGTAGTTTATCGCGTGTTTGATGCGATAAGAAGTGCGCCGTTTTTCCGATTGTGTCGACGCCCACCCTTCGGGATTATCCGCGGCAGAATCTCATTGGGGATTAGGACTGGTTAGTAAAGGAACGACGCAGGCCTGCAAAGTAAACCAAACCCGCAAGTTCGCTTCCGTTTTTCTCTCCGATTATAAACTTAATTTTTCATGAGTGTCGTTCAGCTGTTTCCCTCGTGTCCGTGAAAGGCTTTGCAGGCGGTCGGTGCGAGCGCAGCGCCCGAGCGTGAATTCAATGTACTAAAATGTCGCGCGTGTAGGTGGCCTGACACCGCCTCACACCCTCCCCAATGCTCGCCACCCCGTGCGGGCTCGCGTCACCGCGGAAATAGAATACATCAGTGGCACCGAAGCGCCGCAACTCGCAGGGGCGGGCTGCTTTCGGCCGCGCCCCGCCGCCGGTACGCCGTTTTATTTTCCGACGGGCCGATCGACAAAACGACCGAACGGTGGCGCGTCCGACTGGCTCGAATTTCCATGAGCCGCAAATAGTTTTATGGCCTTATTTGGCGGTAAAATGCGCATGGCGCCGCCTGTGGTGCCGGAATAGCCGATGGGGGACAGGGCTGACCGCACAGGGCCGACAGGGGGGGGGGGGGGGCTGGGGATGAGAACTGTCACACCGCGTACGGACTCACGCCCGAGGCCCGCAGGCATGGCCGAGCAGGGATATACAACTTCACGCGGCCCTATCCTCGATCGGGGCCGCACTACACTGTCAAAAAGCGACAGACACTCTGCAAAGTGGAATCACTCTCGGCCTTCGCGTTGTTTGCGTTCTGAGAGACCGTGCCCGACAATGCGTGGCGGTGCTGCAACGCTCCGAAACACGCGAGCAAAGACTACAGCTAGTCCCTCGACGCCGTGCCAGTAACTATATGGGGAGAGGTTTACTCGGAGCGCCAGCAAAGTTCGGAAGCTGGAGGCTCCGCGTGGGGCCTAAGTGTTCGGCGACGACCCACGCCCGCCGCACGACACACACACGCGCGCGCGCGCGCGCACACACACACACACACACACACACACACACACACACAAGCACGCGTGCGGTGGGATTAAGTCACCAGGCCCTGGTGAAAAATTATTGCCTTTTGTTCGCGGGCAAGCGAGGTCGAGGGCGCCTTTTGAAACCACATCGCCTGGGCGTGCCTGGGCGTGCCTTAATCTAGTCACCCTTTCCCAGCACCCACTCCCAGGCTCGAACCTTGCCCGCCTAAGCTAATCCAGGGAGAGCGTTGTGTGCGTCGTCACGACCGTCTTTGTTTCGACCGCTGTGCAGGTTAAAACGGACTCGAAGGTAAAGAGATAGCAATTTCTAAATTTCTCCCCATTATTTCTCCATTTCCTACGTAAAACGTAAATCGAAAACTAGTTTTTCAATCCGGGATGTAGGCGCTGTGTCAGTAGGGCGCCCAGCGGGCGGACCTCGCTGGAGAGGCATCTTGAGGCGTCGCGTCGCACTTCGAGAGGATCGAGAGCGAGATCGAGAGTCGTTGACGGAAAGGAAGGTCGACCCACTCGACGCCCTGGCGAGAAATAACGAGTTTCGGTACAATCAATGCTCTGTCGTCCCAACTGGGAACACAAACAGAGAGGCCTCGCGAGATGACGTCACTTGGCGCGTCACCTCCACCTCTTTCATGTTTGCCGGGTTGCGCGTCGCCCAGGCCGAAAGGTGGAGCTGGACAGCGTGCTCGGACCCAAACCAACTAGGCCTACACTTCCAGCGAAGTGACACGGCACCGCACATTCCTCCCCGGTCGCGCGCTCGTAACGCGAGATAGAATCTGGGGGCCGAGGTGGCGGATGTGTCTTACAACTATACAACTTCGCCATACGCGACGCGACTGTGAATTATCGGGGCAACTACTTGAAACGGCAAAACTTACGCGCGCCACCACGGCGGGCGCGTCTGGTAATTTATACGAAACAGGTGGCCTCGTCCAGAGTCACAAAAATGAGACCCAAACTCGCACTTGTGTCTTAGCCCGCATTGAATTTTTTAGTCATGGAGAGGAACTTAGGCTGTAGGCCTGTGTGCGTGTGTATGATGTTTTGCTGTTTGTTTTGTTGGGTTTTTTGGTATTTTTTCTGGGGGAGGAGGGAATGACCAGCCTGCGTGGACCGCGCCGCCGCGCGAGGTTTGGCGGTGCGTTATGCGTTGCTGCAAACAAGAATGGATCGACAAAGTTGAGTCGAAGAGAAAGACTTGAAAGGAGCCGTGACACGACACTCGGGAGGGAGGGAGGATGCGGGTGGCCTCGGCGCGCGTCGGCGGCGGGAGGGGGAAGGAAGAGAGAGAGGCAGAGGGCCGGGAGAAAAACCAAGAGCAACTTTTGCCCTTATCTTCTCGTTTCCGGTTCAGCGGGCCGGAAGCGAACGACGGCAAGGCAAAGGACGGGGAAAGTGCGGCCGGACCAAACAAAGCCATGCTAATTGAATCGCAATCGCGAGCCTCAAATTTTCGGTCGAAAAATGTGAAACTTGGGAGGGGCCTGTGGCTTCCCTCGGGGGGCTTACTTTGCTCTATTTAATGTGTCTAGATGGCGGGGGTCGTGCTGGCGGTGCAGCGCGGATGAAATGGAAGAGTGGCGATCTCTTGAGCGGCTTCTCCTCGGTTCTGTCCCGATATTTAAGACTTTGGGCTTGATAAATGCTGCTTTGAACTTCCGCAACGAAAAACTTGAAAATATAAATGAACCGAAATGGGGGCAAATTGTCGACGTAAGCGGCACCGGTTAGCATGGCACTCTCTTGCGTTTCGGGAGGAGCGCCCAGGGACGACGGCGACAAGCCAAGCCAGCCCCGAGGAGGGACACGGCAGCGCACGGCACGGCAGGACCCGCAATTAATGGTTCACTAGGCACAGTTCTCGCAAAGGATTAGGCAGGCGAGAGGCGCGCCGTGCCGCGCCGTGCCGCGCCGTGCCGTGCCGCGCCGCACAGCGTGAGCAGGGTAAGCTGTCAGGGCGTGAAGGCCAAAGCTCTGGTGGTTGCCAGGCCTCGCCCCGCTCGGAACAGACAGACACCGGAATCCACGCGCCGACGCCGCCACAACGCCCCAGCACACTCGCTCTCTCTCGCACCCATACGGGGAGCACCGCGAGCGCGAGAGAGACAGAGCGACGAAAACGACTCTCAGTCCACTCGTCCGTTTACGCGGCTGTGCCACGGCCATGCCGCACCCCGCCTTGTCCGTGGAATATTGATGAACGCTGTGTCTCATCAGGCTGGAGGGGGCGGGGCCGGGCGGGGGCTGCATGCAGCTGTAAAGCCCTGCGCCCGAGATTACAAATGATTGATTCGAATCAAGCAGTGACGCCTCTGTTCTGTCTTCTAGCGCCTCGTTCCCCGTTCATCAATCTCTTTAAACGTGGCCAATTTCGGGGGGAGGGGGGGGGGGAGTCCGTCCTCGAACACCATCGACTTCCAGCTGCCCCAGCTGCCTCCAGCCTCCGGGGCCCGCGAGGGGGCCCGCGATGCTGGACGAGTGGGAAGGCAAAACGCTTACGTCCGCCCCGGCCTAGGCCCTCGGTGGGGCCTCCGCAGGGCCACCAAGGCCCCACCAGGGCCACGCCAGGGCCCCGCCAGGGCACACGCCCCGCTCGCGCCAAGTGCCTCTCATTAAAAGCAAACTAACTTTCTGCCGGGGCCTGACTGCAGGCCCGAGCCGTGGGTCGTTAATACTTGGTTGGAGTGTGGACCCGTCTCAGAAGGCCTTACCTCCCGGTGCGTGGCGGGGCGGGGCGGGGCGGGGCGGGGTGG